GCGGTTTTCGCCTTTAGATTTCTCACAAGAGAAAACCTCTTCCCATCTTTGGTCAAGAGTCATGCTATAATACATTGATCCCTTGAGCTGATCTTTTACGTCTCTTTCCTTCAAGAATATGAAAGGGACGTACCACTTCCCAACCACAACGCTCGAACCAAGACCCGGAAGCTCGGAACGAAGCTCTTTGTTTAGTCCTTTTGCATCATCTCTCAGCTCAAACTCTTGGGACCTTGAGTATTCAATCGTCCACTTATTTTTCCTAAGGAACCATGGTGGTACACCGTCAGGCGCAACAGAAGCTCTTTGTTTAGTTCTTTCGATTGATCTCGAATTGTTGGTATATGTCATAAGGATCTAGCTGTTTTGATTTAGCTTCAGGAACATAGCTGAGACAAAAGCAAAAGGGGACTCTGTCTTCCTCTTTCCCACTAACCGGCGCTTCTCTACAACCAAAAAATTTGAAAGACTTTTTAGTTTATATATAAGAAAGAAAGATTCAAGATTTTTCACGATCTGGAGAGGATACAAAGTCCATACCCTGAACGCTTCCCACGTCGGTTGATAGCGTAGTAACGGTTTGAAGATAGAGGCTTATCGAGAATGGGGATGAACAGAACAGGGTCACGAGTACCATCATCTTCTCCGTAATTGAATCTGGCTGCTAGCTTAAGATTTTGCGGCAATGGCAAACCAGTGAGAGAAGAGTTTGTGACCAAACACGAGCGGAAGCAACATGTAACCCGTGTCTGTAAATCTTGGTCTTGGATAACCAAAATTCCAGAGTTTGGACCTTCAGGAGGAGGCTGTGTTAGCTCTGATGGATTCTTCCAATACTCGGACAAAGTCCTTGTAATGTACATTTTCACTGATTTGTTCAAATGTTGGACTTCTGGAGAAAGATGACTTGATCATGTTTTATAGACTAAACAAGTTTGTGGAACAGCAGTTCACAAGGTGACTTTGACTTGTTTGGATGGTACCTCATTTTACTTCATCTCCATAAGATCTTGGCCTGATCAAATGTCTCTTAACATTATATAAACAAAGTCTTTTCCTCTCTGTATTATGAAACCACTCTGTATCATGATGATTTTGTCTTTGTGTATACAATTACATTGTTACAACTTAAAAATCTACGTCTAAAATCATATGAACCAGAAAATAAAGCTTGAAACGAAAACACACAAATCTCCAAAGCTTAATTTTTGAAAAAAATATAATTTTCATAATTTTTTCCCATGTCTTGTTTCAAAACAACAATGAAATTATACAAAGTTCTACATAAATTCACCTATCCCATCAAACAAAGACAAGAATGAATAAGAAGAAATATATCACCGATCGAAAAGGTCCATATCGATCATTCGCAATATCGATCCAAAGGTCCACATAAAAAAAGACATTACCCCTCGAGATTTCTTCTCAAGCTTCTTTACGCGTGATCCTGTGGGATAACAAATAAGAAACC